AAAAAAAAAAAAAAAAAAAAAATTGATTTTTGTCCGGCCGGCTCGCGACCGGCCGGGGTCCGTCCGGCCGTCGGTTCCGGACGGACCAAAAGCCGGCCGGTTCGGCCGACCGGACAACCTTTGGTCCGTCCGGAACCGACGGCCGGACGGACCCGGACCGGCCGGAACCGACGGCCGGCCGGTTCGGCAGGTTCAAAAAAAAATTTTTTAAAAATACTTCCGGCCAAAAAAAAAAAAAAAAATTACCTTGTTGGAGAAGAATCCTTTGCCGAGGCCGTAGAATTTTTTCGACATTTTTTTGGATTTTTTTTTACGCTCGAATCGTTCGTTGAAGTTCGGAAGTTTAGAGAGATAGAAAGTTTAGAGAGATGAAATCAAAAAAAGGGTTAAGGGCAAAAGAATAATTGGGGGGGGCGGTGACTAATAAAAGGGGGGCGGTGAATAGCGATTGAGTTTATGAGTTGATGGCGTGTGTTTTGTTTCCTTGGCAGCCAATAATTCCTCTACTGTGTGGCGGCCCGCAAATAATTCCAATCAAAAATCAACTTGTGAATCCTTGGCGTGATGGGCTGCCAATTAATAATCTTTCATGGCACTTTTGATTTTTTTTTTTATATAATTGGGCTTAGGCTGAAATTGGGCCGGTAAGGGAAGCAGCATAATTGGTTACGTGAACATCCTTCAGATCCACATAATATTCCAATATCCTAAAAATAAGACATAAAAATATCATAGCACTTGAATCCATCTAATAAATAAATGAGTCGAAAAATATATAAGTGCGATAAAATTAAGCATATAAAAATACGGTAATAAATATATAAAGTACACACTTTTTCCGACCAATCAATTGATGGGTTAGGTTCCTGAGTTCAACTGTTCAACCGTAAAAGCTTTGTGCAGTCACACTCACACTCCAAGTCACAACAATCTTTTTGTCAAACATTTTCTCAAAACATATTTATAGGGAAAAGTAGATAATAATCCAACAAAACATTTTGGTTACAATATTCACACACAAATTCAATTTATTCTTTTCAACTCACAAAGTCACAAGTCACAACCATTCAGGGGACAAACACAACCGGGAAAATAAATACATCAAAGCAACTTCATATTGCCATATTGATATACTATATCTTGGGCATTCTAACTGAAAAGATCTCCAGCCACCTTTTTCATCATGCCTTTGATCTGCATTTAGGAATACACAACGGTTAAAAAAAATACATTCTGAAAAAAAGTAAATAAATAACATCGTAATGTTTTTAACATCGTAGGTTTTTGACATGCCAAATTCATAATTACACATAGAAAAAAGGCAAATTGGTAACTAAAAGAAAAGAACACATTTAGCTTTTTGAAACAAACCTGTTTCGCTGAAAGGCCAATATATTCCAAGTCATCAAGCTGCAGAGGAAAACATTACACAATCAATCAATCAATCAATCAATCAAGAGAGAGAGAGAGAGAGAGAGAGAGAGAGACTGGCTAGTTTTAAATTCTCACACTCTTGAATGGTTCAGGAGATTCCTCACGAAGATCAAGAATATATGTAGCTCTTTTATCTCCAATACCCTGTGATAAGTAACACATCATAGTAAGTTAAAATCATAATCAAGAGTACCCCAGAAGACGTGGAAAACATTGACATACCTTCAGGCTTTTCAATTGTTCCCTGAAAATAAAAAACACGACAAACATTGAATTCGAGTTTTATACATAATAAACATCCTAAATGTACAACAAATTAAGCCCACATATATATGTTCATAAACAACAAACTTGCAGTTCTATTCAATATATGTTCATAAACAACAAACTTGCAGTTCTATTCAACGGTGATGCATATGTACTGTTTTAGTAAAAGAAAGAGCCTACAAACTTTTTTTTTTACGTTCACTTACTTATTGGCTGAGTTCAGAAAGTTGAGATACTCCTGCACAAAAGAATGCTGCCACCACAAAAAAAAAAAGCACCATCTCAGCAAAAACAACATTATTTGAATATATACAAAGATAGACACAGCCCAATATACATCACAGACCTTCATGCCCGAACTGCGGTTACTAAAAGTGCCTTGGGGGCTGCAAAATCTCGCAATGCCATGTCCCATAACAGGAGTTTTTGGCTCATTAATCTCAAAGTGAACGATTTGATTGTTGTGTGGTGCAATCACATTCTCTTGTGTATTGACCATCAATGGTGTTGATGATGCACATAAAGATTTTAGGTTGTTAGATATTTCCTTAATTCTTTTGCTGAGTGGTGGGGACCCGTCATCTTTCTTGTGTGATGAGTTGCCACCCTCACATGTGATATCTATTTTGCAGGAAAGAAAACAATAATCAACACGAATTATTAGCAAGTAATATAAGGGACAATAATCATCAATTCTCCCCACCTGCTTCCAGTGTCTTTGTTCCTGAATTTAGATTAGTACCAGCTTGAGTAGCTCCACCTTGAGGAGAAGAGTTCTGACGAATATAAAAAATAAAAGCAGACGGTATTATATTGAGATGTGTGAACAAAAAAAGGAAAGATGTGCTCTTGTTCAGAAAAAACTGCATTGTCATTTAACTAAAGCATATCTAGTTAGACATGAAAGAAGTTAAAGTACCGTTTTGAGCATATCATTTGGACCATTTGGCAGCAATGTGTCTTGCAACTTGGACTTAGACTGATATTCGGGTTCTACAGTATTTACATTTTCATTAGGCTCCACAGTCTGACAACATTCTGAATTAGACGTATTTTGTGGGGCCTGCAGCAGTGTTCACAAAAGTTTTTGGCAAGATCCTTAAGAAAGCAATCATATCAATGGAATTCAAATGGAACTCGGAGAATTTTACTTCAATTCCATACCTCTTCTAATGAAAATGGGGTAACAGCCAAAGCAAGGTCTGGATGCATCTTGGACTTTTGAGTTGAAATCTCTTCAGACTGGCATTTCAACTGCAGTTAATTTGTATTTAATCTTTAATCAGAAATATATAAAGGTCAAATGAAATCAAATGACCAGTCCACCATAACACTAAAAGTGATAGCAAATATTAACAAGAGAAA